ATAAGCAATCTGTCCAGCTGATCTGCCCCCACTCTGAAAACAAAAACCCTATCATCGAGTTCAGGGTGAAATCTATTTATTCTTTTGAAAGAGTGATTGAAGAAAATGTCAGGATTATGTATTTTTCTGAGCAAGCTGATTGTAAGGCATCAGAAACCATAGTAGTAACAGCCACATGCGAGTAGATTAGGGCAAAAGACTCTCAACATGCTATGTTTTAAGCTAAAATAAAACAAAGAACTATGGATGCTGGAGATCTGAAACAAAACAGAAATTGCCAGCGAAACTCAGCAGGTCTGGCAGTTATCTGTGAGGAGACAGCAAAGTTAACACTGAGCCCAGTAACTCCTCAACAGAGCGCAGAACAATTGCAATCTTTTTGAAAAAGGGAATGGGTCTAATAAAAGCAACTGTAGTCTTTTGATATAACTGCTTTTATAGAATTAACTGTAAATGTTACTGATCCCAGTTTTGCACCTGATTTCAGTTTCTACTTGTTAATGGAACAGACTAACAAATTGCATTTTAACCCCTCACCCACTGTATTTCTTGAGTGGAAATGAACAGTCACTGCTCTGCTCTGATGAAGAGTCATCGGACTCAAAACGTTAACTTGGGTTGTCTCCCCACAGATGCTTCCAGAGCTGCTGAGTTTTGCCAGAAATTTCTGTTTTTGTCTACGTTTTAAGCTTTTGCCTTCAAAAATAATCATTGGCCAAAGTGTTATTTCAGAAAACCAATCTCTGAAAACAAATGTGTTTTCTCTTCTTCTCCTGTAGAGAAAATGATTGTTTGTGTTTTAGGGATATGGGGGTGCATAGTGCAGAAGTATTTATTTTGATAATGTGATTATATAATTGTGATTATTAAGAAACCTGTTGATAGATTTTATTAAATTTAAAACCTGCTACACATGAGGTGTTTGTTTGGTCATCTTGGTAACGTGGAAAAGTATTTTTGTTATGTACTGAGAATTACTGAAACAAAAGTGACGGTGTATTCCTGTAGCCTCTGTCATCCACTCTGTACTCCAGTCCTTCAATCCGCAAAAGATCAATATTTTCTATAACAACCTGTTCCGATGTTATTACACACCTCTGGGGCAAGGTGGCTTTTGAACCTAGGTCTCCTGGCTCAGAGATAGCAGCATTACTACTTTGCCACAAGAGCCTTGTGATTACCTTTGCTGTGATCCGTGTGAAGTTTCGTTTGTGCTTGAAGTCATTTCTAATCAACCTGTTCGGAGATGCTATTACACACTTGGGGAGCAGATGGGACTTGTACCCAGGCTTCCTGGACCAGGGGTATGAACACTATCACTGTATAACAAGAGCCCCTCCACTAAAGGAAGAGAGTTGTTTTAATCAACCTGTCTAGAAATGTTATGAAACATCTCTAGAACTGGTGGAACCTGAACCTGGTACTCCTGGCTCAGTGATAGGGCAATGCCACAATGACAAGAACCCCTGTACAGAGATAACAAGGTGTAGAGCTGGATGAACACAGCAGGCCAAGCAGCATCATAGGAGCAGGAAGGCTGACGTTTCGGGCCTAGACCCTTCATCAGA